GAGGTGGGAAGGCCTTGAGCAAAGAGACAGCTGCGCAGATGACGTGGTGCCTCTGCTTTGGCCAGGCACGGTGCAGCTCGGACCGGGCGAGCGGTGCAGAGCCGTGCCAACCAACAGCAATAGCACAGGCTTGGGGCAGCCCGCTGCTACTTTGATGACTGACAGGATCCTGGCCATTGCCCTGTCCAACTTTTTAATGTTGGCACACTCCAGAAATGCAGCGGAAAGGTGGAATTTGAAGAGCGTTATTAAATAGCAGCAGCTTCCCTGGGACAGAGCGGGAGGGGAAGAGGAAGGCAGTAGGTCGATAGTTAGGATTTTGCAGAGCAGAGGCTTTTAGCAAAAAGTTTTCTTATCCCTCCAGGGCAGGTACAAATTAACTGCCTAGCTCTGTGCTTATGTGTTGTGCCCTGGGCCCCCTTCTTCCCACTAAGTAGTAGAGCAGCTTGACGGCAATCATCGGGAAGGATTCCTTGAGGCTGTTGATTGTTGTGCAGCCTCTCCTGGCTCTCTGCCATAAGTAAATACCTAAATTTGATACCTAAGCGATGGCTGTGACAGGTGCTACAGTACCGATGTGCCGGCACTGACAAGTTGGAGGGGGAGCAGCAGCAGTGGACTTGAGGTGGCCTTTGCAGTCCACATGCAGCTTGTTTGCCAAGTACTTTGAGGGCCTGTTTTTTTCTTTTATTCATGCCTTACAGCCCTGCTTTCTCTGAACCGTCTTCTTCCCTGCTGAATTCAACATTGAAGAAGTGGCTGTGAAATTATGAAATGAGCTTTAGGGAGTTCAGTAGATGATGTACATGCCCACTCCTGTTCAGGGAGGATGGAGAAGGCACACCAAAGAGATAAGTAGTTGCTTCTAGTGCGGTCTTTGAAAAGAGAAGTGCAGGCATAAATTACTCAACCAAATCTTTCCCCGCACTTTATGGTTACAGGGATATAGAATGGAAGCAACCAGCTGTTTCTTTAGTGAGTATTGCTTTCTCTTTGTATGAGAGTCACCTTTTGTGCGGAAGCTTAGCTACCTAGACAGTTTTTATATTTCTAGAGGAAGACTTTTTATGTTGCTGACATCCCCTGAACTCAGAGGAGAGATGGAGTCCCTGAAATGACAGAAGACCTCTGGAATCTCCTGTGAAGTGTGGGGAGATCACCAGAGACAGGATTTTCTACAAACATAAGCACAGGTCAAGCAACTGTTCTGGGTAGTCCAGGCTGGCCCTAAAGGGAATGGGTAGGACCTTTCTTGCTTACTGAAATGACATTCATACGTTTCTGTTGATGCCAAGAAGAGAACAGCTTGCTATACTTACGTTGCCTGTTTGGGCTTAAGCTTCCATAGGCATGTTCTGAAGCTCCCACTCCTCAAACTTCCCAGTGTTTATAGTTAGAGAAACAAGCCATTCAAAACTCTATTTCAGAATAGCATCTGGAAGCAGATGCAACTGCCAACTTCATAAAACGCTGAATCGCCACATCTAATGGTGTGGCTGTGTATTATTGAATTAGTAGTGTAGTGATGCTAAGAGCAAGTTTGACATTTGTTATGGTGAAGAGCCTGGAAGCTTGCTGTGACTGCAGGCAGTGATTATGGGCTGATAAAGTGTGATGCAATACGATATCTCTCCTAAATGAAAATGCCACCCTATTAAAAATAAACTCTCTGGAGGCTGTGGTAGAGTGTGGTGGGCACCTTCAAGATCAGTGGACTTTTACAGCAGTGGTTCTAAATGGGTTCCTGAACACTTGGCCATCAACATGGCCTCCAACTGGTCTGTGGACCAACCCTAATGAAAGGGAACTAGTGAATTATCAACTTTATGCATTTATATTGCTAGTTTTAAAAGTGCTTGAGTGTTGGCAGCAATCTCTTGACCTAGTTGGAGAATTGTGTTAGTGTAGGATTCTTGTAATAACTTGAATATTATTCCTAGAAGTTTAGAACTACGAAGCATGGACAGTCCCGCTGGCAAAGAGGTGTGGTCACTCTGTGGTATGTTTTCAGGCTGGCTACTTTGGTTGAAATAATCTCAGTAACTTCTTAGATTTAGCAATGGAAACAGAAATACACACAAAAAATAAATCTGAAAGGAATTAGCTGTGATCTATGGAGAATAATGCTTTCTGGCAGACTTCTGACCTTTGAAGAGAGGGACCCGCCGATGTTGAAGGAACTTTAATTTTTTTTTTTTCCACTCTGTGAATAGAGTAGGGGGTCTTGCTAATGGATGCAGTTGCACCAGCCAGTCTGTATGACTGCATTAGATTGATTAGCTGGGTCCTGGTTACTGCTGCGAGTGGTGATTATGCCAGTACAGCTGCTTTCTCTTTTTATGTACTAATTACCACACGCACGGATGTCATCACCCTTAACACTGCATGGAGTTGTCCCATTAGCGTGGGAGTGGGAAGCAGCAGGGGAGGGGAGCTCTTCGGCGTGACAAGCTGTTTAGAAATGAATGGAGTGGAGTGATGAAGCAGCTATTCTTACGCAGAATTTTTAAGCCATCTTGTCTTTGAGATTCTGCCCTCAGCCAGCATTTTTGCGGGTTGTCAGAACCAGGCCCATGTCCTTGGCAGCACTTTCCTTGGGGTGCTGTTTACTGCAAAGCACAGGGATGCTCAGCTGTAGCTAGGAAGTCTCCCCCCTTGGCGTGGCTGGTTGTGGAGCCTGTGGGACAGCGGCTGTGCAAATTGACCGGCAAGCGGAGGAGAGCTTGTGGCTAGCCCAGGAAGGCAGCTACTCTAGCTGTGATACCTTGCAAAACCATTCTCAGGAGAAGAGAAACTGTTTGTTTTTGACTTGCTGAAGAAGGATATGATGGAAAACCCTTGCAGTTCTTAAGAGATTTGGAATGCTTATTCTATTAATTTATGCTCCCAGCTCTAGCAGACCCCTCCATTTCCCCTCCTTCCTCCTCCTCCTCAAAATCCAGTCTTCCCATCTCAGAGTGCACCATAATCTCCATGGTAACAGATGCTACCATCGTACATCTAATTTATTTTTTTTCCCCCTCTTCTTTTTCTCCGCTTCCCCCCCTCCGGCTACAGTAAGCAAGGCTTGCACAGCGAGCAGACATGACAGAGGTGGGCAAGAGCTAGATAAACCCCTAAGGGCCTGTTCCTTCCATCCAAACACCGAGCTTCTCTGAAGACACCAACTGCTGAGTGATAGCCAGGGTGAAGAGCAACCAGCTTCTATCATACAGAGAAATCCTTAGGGACGTTTTCTCCTCTAATGGGGCCTCCTCAGAGAAGAGGTTAAATGTGTTACTGATGGCGGGAAATAATGTAGCTATATTGTTTTGCTCTGACTTTGTTCGCATTGCGATGGTCAAGATGAAGGTTCTGGGTACTGGCTGTTGGAGGGCATACAGTTAAGTGGTCTCTGCCTCAGACTTCACAAGTCGAATTGTCAAATGGACAAGATGTGGGGTGGGCAGTAGAGCTACAGAGAAAAACAGCCCCAGTTTGATATGCTAGCTGATGAGTCCCACCCTAAAGAATTCTAATTATTACTTCAGGTCACCTCAGCACTGCAGTTGTGGTTGATCTCCATTCCCGTCTACCTTTATCCTGTTGTTCCAGCGCATCCTCATCCTTTCCCTGCTGCCTGCTCCAGCACCATCCCCTTTTCTGGGGAGTCTGGAAGAAAGGTTTTGTGATGGATGGATGGTTGCTTACTAGAAAATCTAACGAAAACATCTTTCACCTGGGACTTATCCCATTGAAAATCTAGATTTGAAGTCTGTGTTACCTGCAGTGATTACAGGTTTAAATCCTTGGTAAATTCCTGCAGAAATTCTGTTGATTTGGACTTGTAAATGCAGTCTTCAGTCCTGCTCTTCTGAAGCTGTGATGGAACATGTTTTGATGGGACACTGTACACTGAAGCAGCTTGTCCCTGTCTATTCCTGGTGGCCAAAACGACTCATTAACCCTCTTTCCATTTCCCATGCCTTTATTTTTGTGATCTACATGTGTCATATTTTCTGTGTAAGTGGAGTGTTGTCAGTATACCCAGTTCCGGTTGCTGGATGGCAGGGTCCAGGAAAGCGCGGTGCTGTACAAAAGACATTAGCTTCTTGGAGTAGAAGGAGAGTATCTGTGTAGGTATAATCTGTTCCTGCTTCGTCGTTCTTGCTTTTCAAGCTCATCCATTTCAGAAACCCAGCTGGTGCAGACCAGAAGGCAGAGCTTGCTGTTGGTCCTTCGTGTGCACAGGGTTTTTATTCACCTGCATTAATGCAGCATTTGGGAAGTGCTGGCTTGCAGCTGTGCTAAGTACCTGCAGTCTTAGCGGCTCTTCAGCTTCTTACCTTACTGCAGGTAAAATGGATGGTGTTGGAAGGGGACCTGAACTGAGGGATTTGTTACTTCTTGTGTTATTTTCATAATCTCTGGATTTTGACTTTTCCTTTGTGCACTGTTGGTGTGGGGGGTTGGTCAAACTCTGAAACATTTTCAGGAGGTTGTTTAAATGTTTAAAAAAAGGAAAGAATTGTATATTATTTTTTCATAAAGTTTGGTTTACTTGATAGAAACAATAAACTTTGATGCTGAAAGCCTGCGTACTTGCCAGTTTCCTATTCCACCCTAGTGAATATAAGATGAAAGGTGAAGGCCAGAAGAGTCCCACTTGTCCTGATTTGTAATGAGTGTACTGCTTGTCCCCATCCCTTTGTTTATAATTAGTTTAAATAGAAGGACTGTGCAGCCCACTGAGTGACATGCAGATTCTCCTGGTGACAGAATTGCTTCTGCTTTGCAGCTGCGTGCCAGTCGGTCTATTAAACACCGTGGGGCACATGTATGTGCGTTTCTAGCAGCTGCTTACTCTTGGTGCTGGATTAGTGGTTTCTTGCAACATCCTATAAAGCGACATGTCTCCTTGGCCAGCTGCGCGGCTGGAGGGAGATTTAATGCTTGTTTGAGCCTCCTTGGCTCTCCTGCCTTGTGTTGTCCTGTCAAGTAATCTCCTGTTATTGTTTCAGAGAGTTTTCAACGTACTGTACCCAATGCCTGCCGACCAGAGAAGACATGTCAGCATAAACTCAGCTCGCTGGCTGCCTGAGCCAGGCCTGGGATTGGCATATGGCACCAACAAAGGGGACCTGGTGATTTGCCGACCAGAGTAAGTGCTTGCGTTACATGGAGATATAACTGCTTTGGCCATTCTGTTCTTAAGGCAGTGGGCTTAAGATGGCTTTTCACTGCCTGGGGCACTGTGCTTGAGGGACCCAAAAAACCTGACTCCTAATACTCCTTTTGGACTGCCACAGTGTTTAGCCGAGTCTCTTACAATCAGTGTTTATTTTGCTGATTATAAACTTCTGAGGCTGTTTGAAGTGCATCTCATTAGCTCATTTTATTTCCTATGTCTTTCTAGGCTTTCTGGATCCTTTGTTTCATGTATGTCTAAGGCAGTGTCTTTAAGTCTCTCTGGATTTATGGACTTCTAAAGTTTCTAGCAAGAATAGAAAGTTTGAGCTGTTAGTGGTATGCATGCTTTCCTCAGCTTTCATGGACACCTTGGAGTCCACCAACCAGATTGAAAGCTGCTGACCTAGAGCTATCAAATACTTGTTACAGCATTCAAGCATGAGATTCTATGAACTGCAAAGATTTTTGTCACGATTATGAGCAAACCAGCGAATTGTTTTGGTCCTCACTTGAAAGCCCAATGGTGTGACATGTAGACTTTAGCTCTCTTTTATCTATACAGCGCCATGAAGGATGTAACTGTCCCTTTCTAAACTTGCAATTAAACACAAACTAATTTGGATATGATGTGACGCAAATGATGACTGTCTGAGCAGAGAAACATGTATTGCTTTCAGTGTTCTTGGAGTGTCTGTGCATCATACTTTGTTGAGACCCTTTTCTCCTTTGTGTTGTGCAAGTGCTTCTTTTGGAGCAGCATTTGTTTTATGCTGCAGGAACACTTCAGGGATTTCTCTGCCTCAGTTACTTCCTGGTGCTAAACTACCTTGGTATTCTTTCGGGTTATGCTTCACATGTTGAAGTTCCTTGTAACTTAAAAGCTGGCAGTTAGAAACTTGCAGCACTGCTGGTGATGTTACCACATGAGATCAGGCATGTGGTGCTTGAGGAGAGTCATATGGTCAGTGTAGAATCACTATCTTAAGTCAGAATAAATACATAGCATTGTAATATAGTGACTAGTTCAGTACAACCTTCTGGTGAGATCTGTGGTTGGAATTCAGATTAGACCAATTTCAGTAGTACAGAATGCCAGCGCTCTTCAAACAGCCTTCTTGTTCTCTTGAACATAATCTTTCATCAAGACCGTATTTGTACATGAAGTTCTACAAGATATTATCATGGAATAAGCTATAATCACTCTCTTCCAGGATAAGTGGCTTTCTTCAAGAATAGTTGCTGTACTTTCTAAGCAGAAGAATTATTCAGGAATAATGGCTCTCCTTGAACTCAAGAGTTTTTCTAAGTTATTTTCAGTATAGAGAAGTGATAAGATCTAGTCTACTGATTATGGCTCGTGAGATGAACTTGGATGAGAACCTAGGGAAATGAAATCTCCCTGAGGGTAGCTGCTTTGATGGAATGCTGCAGAGTCAAGCTTGGTCTGGCTGTCCTGGCTTCCCACACCCCGCGTTAGGTATCCATTCTGGTGCTTGAAGTAGCCGCAGGCTAAGTGCTATGTCTCTTCTTGGCACCTCACGAATTACAGACACAACAGGAACACTTTTGTGGTATGTTATGGAAGCACTGTCAGTCCTTCTGTAGCATCTCTCTGAAACCTTCTTAGCTCACCACGTTGCTAGGGCACTCTTCAATCTCCTTACTTCTATCCCAGCAACAATCGTGCACAATTCCAACAAAAATAAACTTTTTGTATATAAACGTGAAATAAACTGGCTGTAGAGGTGAGAGATTTATTGGTGGTTAGACGGAAATGCTTCAACAGGTTTTCTGCCAGTGGATTGGAGTGACTGATGCTTCTGGTGATTATTGCAGACCTCACATGGACTGGTGGGTTCTTTTTGGAGTGGGACACCTGGTATGTTCTGTTCTCAACTCCCCCATTTTATAGACCAACAACAACCAGAGTAACTTAAACTTCTGCATGAAGGTGTAGGTGCTAACTGAGCTGAATAATTTGCATTGAGGCTCTAACATGTGAACACACAAATGAGTGAGGCTCTGTCAGAGCAGAAGTGGCTTGTGGCTGTGATGTCTGCCCCCGATCTACTTGGAAGATCTCAGAGAAAGGAAGAATCCTGATACGTAGATGCCATCTTAGCAGTTCTTGGCTTAATAGACTTGGTTTGAGGTTGGCATATCTGTTGACTTTAACTTGAGAATTGATGGAGAAAGATGAAAAATATTTGTGTAATTTCTATACACAGTAATACAGAGGAAGAGAAATACTAAATAAAGGATTCAGCAATTGGTAGATTACTATATGGGGGATAGCCTAGCAAACAGCAGGGATCCAGAAAACACCGTACTGCTGAGAACACCCCCACTGTTCTAATTTGGCAAAGAAAACTGTGGTCAGTAGCAAACAACGGAGATGGTTATAATTCCCTCGGCCTTTATTACCATGTACAATGGATGCATTTGAAACCAAGTACTACAGGGATCACATAAACAGTTTGAAATAGCAGCTGTGCCTCAAATACAGGGTGTGAAAATCATGTGCTTAGGGAAAATGAGATGAGTAGACTGGAAGTACAAGCTGACCAAAAAAAAAAAGGCATAACTTGAAGCTCCATGAGCTCATAATGAGAGGCTATGCAAGTAGTCCTTCCAGAGTTCTAAAGAAACAGTAATTAAAATCAAACGTTTTTGGCTATGTTGCTAAGTTGGTGTAGCGTTGATGGCAGTCTTTCTTGCAGATGGAAATGAGGAAGGTCACGTTATGTTGGCAGTCCATAATGTGAACCCGGTACACAGGTTTGTGGGGTATATTTTGAAGGAAAGGAAGGTTAAACCCATGGAAAGTGGGATCGAATGTGTTGTTGTTTGACTAAGGTGGAGTATAGCAGGTTGGATAGCTGTCCTTGAGAATTTTGCGTATTTATTTTTAATTAAAGGGTCAACTAAGAACTTGCTCCAGGTCTAATACCTCTGCGTTTTAGTAAGGCAGTTCCCATGTCAGAGCTACAGTAAATCTAGTTAATTTGCAAAGAATTAGGATTATGGCAAGATCTGGTAAAGAGCAGGTGAAGACCTGGCTAAAGGAAAGAACACAACATGATTGAGAGCTGGACTCTGTCACAAAAGAGGTCGTTGATGGGCTTCCTTACGAACCTGTTCTGAGGCTGGTTATTAATACTATTTACACTAATGCCTTGTAAGGATGTGCTGAATAAATTTGCAGAGGATGTGACATTAGCCTTGTCATTGCAGAGAAAGATCAGAATATTGCACAAGAATTGGATTGCCTTGAAAGTAACTGGAGCTATAGAAATGAGAACTTAATAGTACAAAGTGCACTTAGTGACTAATAACACTGAGCTCAGTAGTTAAAATGACAGAGGAGGAGAAGGGCCCGAGGTTTTAGCTGATCGTAGGTGATTAAGCCATCAATACATGAAGCTGTAAAAACAACAAATTTAATTCTAGGATGAGACACAAGATGCTTAACAGCAGAGATAGCAGAATGTTGGTACCACTGCAGAAGGAACTAGATACATAAGCTGGAACAGTTTAAAATTCTCATATCCATATTCAGAACTGCCTTTGAACCAGTACAGTAGTTAAGAGCAGCTGCTAGCGGGGTCAGTGAAGCATTTTTATCCAAGAAAACCTGCAGCTTGGGGTCTTTAGCAGGACTAAAAAGGAGGGCTGAGGGGGTTATATAGCCTTCCGTAAATCTCCAGGAAAAGAGAACTATTTAAAAGTGTATACTTTTTATTAGAGACCAAAGAGGCATAAATGTGACTGAGTAGGTTGTGGCTGCGAACTAGAGAAAGGTGGCTAACCAACTGATTTCTGCAATAGCCTGTATGTTGGTGGGGTGGATGGAAAAGGCTTAGCTGTTTGGAGATGCAACTCGGCTGGCTTGCAGAGATAAGTGTATGACTTGTATGCTTGTGATTAGGGGTGGGACTGGACTGCTGAGCTGTGAAGCAGTTTTCAGTATTTTAAATCCAAGGTCCATGTCTAAACAGGTGTTGGCAAGTTGGCTCTCGGAGCTGTTGTGCTGTAAGGGAGGTGAGGTGGTGACAGCAGTGTTCATCCACACTTGGAAATGCACCTAATGGGCCTGAAAGAAGCCTGTAAGAGGTGGGAATTCATGAGCCGTTACAGTAGCTATGAGGATAGAATAAGCGTTTTTATTAGCCAAATATATAACCCCTATCAGGGTTGCATTCTGGTGAGCAAAGGAAAGAAAAGACATTGTGTACCCGCTTCCTTAGATTTCAGGGTGACACCCAGCTCACTAAATTGTGCTATTGAAAAGCATCAATTTGTTTGCTCTGCTTTTCATGTGATTAAACTGGAAGAAACTTTTAATGTAACGTCAGGAAAGTTCCTCCTTTCCCAAACACTCAAAGGCCAACCAGCTTAACGTTATTTACTAATATGTTAGTTTGAACATGCAGTATTAGACAGAGACCTGTATTAAAAACCCAGAGATCCCAGTTGTCAGTGAATAAATACTATTCCAAGTAAGGATAACAAATAGCAAAGGTGGTGGAGCTGGTGTTCAGCAGTGCTTGCCTGTCCTTCATATGTTCTTTTCTTTTGCTTGTTTAGCTGGTTTCACTTGTTTGCAAACAAACAAACTATCCATCTTAGAGCAGGTCTCTATGACCTGTTTGTCTGCTTTTCCTGCTGCATTACTGTCCTTTTGAGGAAGGGTCTGTGCAAAAGAACCCAGGGGACTGGTTCCTGTCCCACAGGAACCCAGCTTTTGGAAACAAATTCCTCTGCAAGTGACCAACAGGACAACAAGCAATTTACTTTTCACAAGTCTGATCTTTCGTTTTTGTTTGAAAAAATCGTCAACTACCATGTAAGAGAAGGAGTCACAGGGAGAAGGCTCATGGAAGTGACCCTTGGGGACAGAGCATGAAGTGCAGGAAACTGATTCAAAGAAAGGCATCTGCAAGTCCTGAAGATGCATCGAGTAATGAATGG